CTTTGAACAACCAAAAACACATCTTCTTGAGCCGGTTTTGGTTACTGTCTTGGCTGCCCGTTTGGATGAAGCAGTGGAAGAAAGAGAGGAAAGTTGAAAGCAGAGTCGACGAGGTAATGGAGAATCTCAGTGGACTAGGGTTGCAAACAAACTGAGAAGATGCGCGAAAGCCATTACTTAAAACAGCCATATCCCTCAGCGTCTCTGACCATCAGTTAAGTGCACCCCGAGGTACCCACACAGGAAGCTTAACGCTACGTATATGACCGAGTCTCCTGTTTGGAGTTTTTACACCCCCTTATTTTGACCAGCTTTAGCTATTTTCCACACTACCTGCCTCAGCAAACTTCGAGCGACGTAGCAACCTATTTGGTGACATGCGTAACACATGCCCCAACCGACGTGATCTATGGAGGTCGACCGCTTGTTCCAGAGGGTAACCGGAGTTAACTAAAAGTCTGTGCCTAACCCCAGCGTTGCCCGACCAGATTTGTTCAAAGCTGCGAAGAGAGGTGTTCAAACACCAACAATCCATTTTATCCCGTTTTCCTAGTAGCGTAGTTTTTGCGCTGCATAGCAGGACTGGCCGCAGCATACACGTGATCCTTCACAAACAGTCGGATGTCGCCGTAAAGCCACAGATGACTCAAGTTGGCAAATGCAAACCGAACTTCATTTTCGACAGCTGACAATTTCTCCGTGATGTATCCACCGGCTGCGATGTAGCTGCTCAAATAGCGAAACTTGTCCACTTGGTCTATTGCTTTCCCAGTAAGAGTTAGCGTGCTGGAGTAATCCAGTCTTCTAGCACCATTTTACACTTTGAATGTGAAAAGGCATACCGAACACCGCTACGCTAGCACTCAAACTATCATGAAAGGCTTGCAACCTACCTGATTCTTCACTCAGCAGTGCAATGCCGTCTGCATACTACAGTGCAGATAGTTTGCCAATTGGGAGCAAATCGAAGCTACTATCCTCGTACGGAGACAGGACTGTTTCCATAATCAAATATATAACCAAGTCAAACAAAAGAGGAGAGAGCAATCCTGACGAACACTATGTAGTGAACTCGGGCGAAAACGTGCGGTAAGCCAGGATGCGGCTTCAGTTATCAGTAAAGAGACAGCAAACGAGAAATAAACTTCTCCGGCACACTCTTCTAAGAGGGGCAGCGAGAGTATGGAGCGGCTAAGTCGAAAGCTGCTTTCAGATTGAGGAGCATAGAAATGGTGAGTCTAAGAAAGGATTCTTTGTTTTAAAATTTGGCGAAGTGTGAATATATGGTGTATACAACCTTGATCTAGTCTGAAACCACCCTAATTCCCACGCGTGCACTCTTCACGTGCGGTAGAAACCGACGGAGTTGGATACCAACGGAAAGTCTGGCAGAAATGTCGATTAAACCTATTCCTCCACTGTTGTTTTCTCAGAAAATGAGTTGCCACCGTTCTTTTAATGCCGCAAGCTGGTTGATTCACACTAGTCAGTCAACTTGTTCCCTATTCGATATTGAGCCCAGGATTTTCGTCAACTATAAAACTAAGGCTGACCACCATCCTTAAAAGTCAATGGGAACAGTCGGTTCAGCCCGAAGACCTTATGCATCTTCAGGTAACTGATTCTCCTGGAAACCATCAATTCGGTTGGAGGATTTATATCAACTGGCTGAACTGTGCTTCAAAATGTTCTACCCATCGTTGCTGAATTTGAATTACAGAAGTCAGATTCCTTAATTACCTCACGCCTACTTTCCGATCATCTAGAAGAAAGGTGATAGATTGTCTTGGGAAAACCACAGGGGTTATTTTAATCAACATTACCTTTAAACCGCTGACAGCGATCACACTCCATCGATTGTCTGCGGCACGTGAACGATCCACGCGTAAGCATCAGGCTGGTTATGGACCGCCAAATTTTAGAAAATAGACTATTTCGCAGATCTACCATCTCTATCTTCCTTGATCTGAAAGCGGCTTTCGACCCAGGGTGTGCCCCAGGGGTGTATTCCAAAATTACGACCCCTTTATACTAATAGCCGAAACCGAGTTCGAGCTTAAAGAACACTCGCCCGAGTTCATTGCATAAAGTGGTGTTCGTCAGGATTTCCTCTTTCCTCTTTTGTTTGACTTGGTTATAGATTTGATTATGGAAACAGTCCTGTCCTCGTGTGAGGATAGTAGCTTCTATTTGCTCTCATATGGAAGACTGCACCGGAGTATGCAGACGACATTGCAACATACGGCTGTGTGAAGGATCACGTGTATGCTGCGGCCAGTCCTGCTATGCAGCGCAAAAACTACGCTACTAGGAAAACGGGATAAAATGGATTGTTGGTGTTTGAACACCTCTCTTCGCAGCTTTGAACAAATCTGGTCGGGCAACGCTGGGGTTAGGCACAGACTTTTAGTTAACTCCGGTTGCCCTCTGGAACAAGCGGTCGACCTCCATAGATCACGTCGGTTGGGGCATGTGTTACGCATGTCACCAAATAGGTTGCTACGTCGCTCGAAGTTTGCTGAGGCAGGTAGTGTGGAAAATAGCTAAAGCTGGTCAAAATAAGGGGGTGTAAAAACTCCAAACAGGAGACTCGGTCATATACGTAGCGTTAAGCTTCCTGTGTGGGTACCTCGGGGTGCACTTAACTGATGGTCAGAGACGCTGAGGGATATGGCTGTTTTAAGTAATGGCTTTCGCGCATCTTCTCAGTTTGTTTGCAACCCTAGTCCACTGAGATTCTCCATTACCTCGTCGACTCTGCTTTCAACTTTCCTCTCTTTCTTCCACTGCTTCATCCAAACGGGCAGCCAAGACAGTAACCAAAACCGGCTCAAGAAGATGTGTTTTTGGTTGTTCAAAGTGAGAAATTTGAAGTAATCAACCCAGATGGAACGGAAAATTCATATGGGCTAGATTGCTGTAAGTGCTTTGTAGTTCCTCAGACAGCAATTGATCGGTAAAGGGTCATGTGTTTGAATAACTATGCCGACGAACTCGTTGATAGTTTTCTGGTGCAGTTGGTAAACGATATTTTAGAAAGATCACAAATTGTTCACGATTGGTTTTGATGTGTTCGTACCCATTTGGGTGTGTTGAGTTCTACTTGCGCAATCTACTATTAAGGCATTCAGTGAACTGCTGGTAAGTCTGGTATTTTGTTCCATTTGGGCTGCAGTTTGTGGGCCCATAATTGGGGATGACGAACAGACAAGTCCCGTTACGGGACGCCTTTACGGAACCTCAATGGATGGCGCAGAGTCCGCTGCTAATTGTGATCTCGTTGAGTGAATCTGCTGATCGGCATGCCTATGAACGCTGTCACCACGCCAGTCTACAGTCGGATGGCTGCAGAGTCGGAAGCTGCATGAGCTCTTAGAATCCAGAGAAGGTGGAACGTCACGCAGTACGGTGCTCAAATCCTACAAACACGTCTCAGTAAGGCAGCAAACGTCGATGTC